TCAATTTTACTAAGGAACTCTTCCTCAAGCTAACATTCCCTGGATGCGTAGCCCTATAGTTCTCAGCATCTTGTAAAAGTAGCATGACCTACTGTACATCTATGTTGGCTGATGAACAAGGAAGTTGAAGTCCAACATAATTGGAGAGCACAACGTTGGAGCAGAGTATTGCAGGAGTACACTGAGTAATTCCTATTTTTACTTAAAAAAAAACAAAATATTTCGACCGTAAGATGGCAACTGAAGTTGCTGGCTGTGTTAACATTCAAGTGGCAAAAAATATTATGCCTCAGATGTCAGCCTTTTTAGAAGCAGAGATTTTTTAATATATATCAAAGCCCTTTGATGTAAAGCAAGGGAGACTCAGAAAGCAATGTAAGCATGGAAGATGAGAGTAACCACAAAAACATTGATAAACATTTTTAACTGATTAAGATCAGCTTTTCTACCGCCATCCCTATTTCTTCCTTTAACTGAGATTTGTTTCTATACCAAGGATCCCCAGCCCCCGGGCCATGGCCTAGTACTTGGCCGTGCAAGCAGCATCCGGATGCACAAGCACATGCAACTCCATTTGTGCAAGGAACCATCCACCCCCTGCCGGTCTACAAAGTCAGAAAGATTGGAGACCCCTGTTCTATGCCATAAGTTGGCTCTGGCCAAAGCTTGATTCAGACTTTAAGAGTGCTGCCAACCCTGCTGTAAAAATTGAATTTGCCTCTTAAATATGCTGAGTGCATAACTATTTAAAAAGATTAGCCTTAGGGTAATATAATACCCATTTACAAGGGAATAAACCCCATTAAATTTGATGAGTTAACTATGGATTTGCACAACTGTACTAGGGAATGATCTGACTCTCTTCTTGAAGTAATTTGCTCAAGAACATCTTTTCAAACCAGTTCCCGGATTAACATTCTGGCCTGCTTTCCCAGGCAGCAAATGCGATTGAACTGTACATGTCAATACAAGCAGCACTATCAACTGAAGTATTTAAGGTATCTAAATACTGTAAAGGAGGTTGGATTCTGAGATCAATCAACTGAGTTCAGCATATCAATTAAGGCTTGCTGGGTTGCTGTAAAAATAGAAAAAGAGGATGTAAATTATTTCTGACCAGTTTTCTCTCTCCAGCCCTTTGTATTTCTATTCCAAAAGTTTAGAGCCCTCCAGAACAATATGGGAAGCGATATGTAGAATTGTTACAGAGAACTCAACTAAAATTGCCTCTGTTCTTCAATTCTTAGAGACCCAAAGTAAAGGAAAACCCTTCTGGAAAACAAAAAAATAAAATGACTCTGATAGTTACTAGCCAGTAACCTGTCACTAGGAACATTTGTAAATAACCTTTAAATGTTTAAAGGTATTGCATCATAAAACACAGAGCATGTATTATATTTAACAGGACAGAATTCAATCTGATGAAGATTAAGGTGTCTGACTTCTTCATTCTTTAGGGCTTGTATTCTCACCACTGCAGTCAGTATTTTCAAGGGATAATGTTTTATTCAGTGTTGCCCAATCAATATATTACAAATGAATGAATGACAGGTGTTTTTGTGCATTTTCACCTCTATGGTGGTAGCCAACTCAACTATTTCTGTTTGGTCTCTTTTTCATAAAGCAACCTAGTAATTTTTTTAGCCTTTCAAATACATCAGTCCTCTTAATAGTAACTTACAGTACAGTGGGTAATAAACTTCGTAATTCAAAAAAAGTCAAATACATGACAGAGGGGGAAGCCATCATATTTGCTGAAGGTATTTTGATGAGTGGATATTTGTTTCTGTTCCAGAAAATCACAAGGTCCATAACCTTGGAATGAATGGGCAATCTAATCTTGATCAGCTAGCAGTCTTTGGATGAGTTCAGGAACACTACAAACTGCTTTCAAAGCAACCACCTAAATCTTGAAAAAGACACAGCTGTTCAATTATTCAAAGAAAGGGTTTTGTTTGCATTCCTTTGCATAACAAAACACTTGTTTTGAATGCCTTTCAATCCTAATGGAATTGTTTAAACCTTAGATCACAGCTACTAAGCACACCATTCTCTCAAGGATAACATCAAGAGAAGCTACATTCCAAGGAGCTGAAGCACGTGATCAAACAACCAAAAGCCCAAGTGGAGGATTATCCATCCTATTCTCAGTTCTTTGCCACTATAGAAGCAGGAGTCTAGGATGGAGGAAATGCCTGTTTGTTGGCAGGTTGAAATTAGCTCACTCCTATTTTAAACTAAACTTTTCAGGTCAGGACAACATCACCTATCTCTCACAGCACCTTGCATGTTGCCATCCATGTACACAAGACCAAACTATGAAGGGAGACGCTACGGGTAGACCAGCAATAACAATTGCCATAAAGCATGGAGATGCACTAATTCCTACCCAGTATTAAAGGATGCTGTTTTCTTGGGGCAACTGGACAAGTAATTCTTTTAATCTATTTAAATAATATTTTAAAATAAAAGTGTTTTTAATTGTGTTTAGAAATAAAAATCAATTGGCACTGATATATGCTAATTACCAAAACAATACCGTTAAGTAGAATTGTATATTACCCTCAAAACCTTTACATTTTCATAATATGAAAATATTTAGCAACATTATAGTTGGTTTGGTGAGCACTCATTTCCATCTATTACATGAAAAGAGAAGTTCATCTCTGTATGTATTGTATTTCTCAGATGTTATTCCAAAAGAAAATCTCACACAAAATGTCACTATTAAAAAGGAGTATAAGGCCTTGTGTATTTATACCACACAGGATTATTTAATAGGAGGTCTTATTTGCTGTTTGAGAAGTTTGTTAAGTGACTTTTGCCCCATTTTATGACTTTCTTGCCACAGTTGTTAAATGAATCCTTGCAGTTGATAAATTAGCAACTTGGTTGTGAAGTGAATCTGGCTTCCCCATTGACTTTGCTTGTCAGAAGGTTTCAAAATATGATCACATGATTCTGGGACACAGTAAAGGTCATAAATATGAACCAGTTCCAAGCATCTGAATTTTGATCACATCATCATGGGGATGCTGCAAAGGTCATAACTATGAAAAATGGTCATAAGTCACATTTTTCAGTGCTGTTGTAACTTTGAACTGTCACTAAACAAACTGTTGTAAGTCAAGAGCTAACTGTATTTGTGTAATTTTGTGTATGTACTGCTGTAAAGTGAACTTATGTAAATATGTTTTTAATACATTTGTATTTATGTTGTCCTAGATATTATTATTACATTTATATGCTGCCCGACTCTTTTAACAACTCCAGATCTTAGGTTAGTGTTGCTCTGGAATAGCCAATATTGATTTTTAAAGAAAAACTGGCTTCCTCATGCAACAAAAATGAATTATTCAAGAAATGATGCTTCTAGCAGTATTATAATAAAAGTTGTGTGTGTTTTTGTTTGTTTGTTTGTTTTGCATTTTGGTCCATGTCATCAATAAGTTTATGCACAAGCCACCAACATTCTGCTGTACAAATTATTCTGATTTTGGATTATTCCTCTTCTGCATTTCTTCTTCTGAAGAAAAAGGAAAATGCATGGGATCATCTCTTTGCATGGAACCTTTTCTTCCTGTGCATGTAGAAGAAAGTGATGACTTAGCACTCATATGAGTGCTGCCTCTCCTTAGGGATATTTTCATGGAGTTAAAAATGCACATCTTTAAAAGAAAGACAATGGAAAAAGATATTGCAACTTTACAGACCTACAAGTCTGAAGGATTTATACTTGTGTTCTTTGCCATGTGGTTTTAAAACTTGGAATCCTTTTAAGTACATAACAATTAAACAGGAAATAGCAAAGTCATAATCAGTAACCTTAGATCTTTTTGAAGTGCAAAGAAACCAAATGACATCCTACTGAGTAAAACAACATCACACCTTTACAGAAGTGTCTGATTGAGGGAGAAAGCATTAAATAGCTATCCTATTGTACAGTGAGTATTTAGAAACCACGTAGCTTAATAAATAGATTCAAAAAGATTTATCCTATATTTCTTATTTGCATTTCACTTTTAGAAACATCCTTTTAAATAAATCCTATCTGAACCAATTTAAAAATAGCTTTAAGTGTGAACTTCAACTTTAAGTGTGAAAGCAATATAAACATATTTAATTGTCTGTTTTCAAAAGAAAAGACAAATGTAAAAAAAGTGGAAAACTAATTCTAACTTCTATATTAGATCACTGTATGACTATGTACAGTTTTCTTAATATCAGAGTCTAATATTATTAATAGACATGATTTCACATTTTTTGAAGAAGATATTGTCATCATCCAGCTTTAATGAAGACAATTATTTCAAGATAAAACAAATAAGGCTATTTGCCACATTGTACTACAGATAAGAACTGTGTTACTAATTGAAGCAATATTGATCCCCCCCCCAAATATTAAGCATGTTTCTCCCAATATTAAGCAGTGGTGGGTTACCGGATTGGGCAAACCGGTAGCGGTGGCGGCGGGAGGGTCCACCCACCACCTGGACGCTTCTGCGCAGGCGCAGAAGTGTTTTGTGTGTGCCAGCGCGAGCGCAACCATGAGCAAACCAATATCGATGGGATTTGAAACACACTAATTTATTTATTTATTTATTTATTTATTTATTTATTTATTTATTTATTTATCCAATTTATATGTCGCCCTTCTCCGTAGACTCAGGGTGGCTTACAACGCATTATAGCAATAGCCTGTATACTTTTTTTTTTTTTGTATATACCTGCTTATTAGGGCTTTCGGACCCCCTAAGCGGTGTTGTTCTATACAAAGTTGGCTTATTGCCCCCACAATCTGGGTCCTCAATAACTACTGATATTAAGCATATCATCCACAATATTAGTGAAGAGAAACTCACTGAAATTTAAAATTATGCAAAAGGATTTAAACTTTTTACTTATATTTGTACACATTCCAGAAATTATAGTTCAGTAAACTCCAGAATTTAAAAAAATATTATAGTAAATTAATATAAAAAATGAAATAAAACATGTACCTCTTCAATAGGGCAATATAGGTTATGTAGATATATAATTAAAATCTCCCTGTGGAACAAAAAAAATGAAAGAAAAATTTAGGATGGTATCAGATGATGCCAGAAACCATTAAACAAACATAGACACAATAATGTTGTCTTTCCCCACCTTGGTGCCCTCCAGATCAGTTCAACTACTATACACATCAACTTTTGAATTACTGATCTTGCAGTTCAATTTCTCTGGAGGGAACAAAGCAGAAGCATGAAATGTAAACCGTAAAGAAAACATCATGTCATAATGGTTTGCTCTACTTCCCCGTGCATGTAAATTCACTATTCACAGATACTGTATTATGTCAACTTCAACATCAATTCCATGTTTATCTTTAGTTCTTCTCAGTTCTTTTGGTGCAAAAGAGGTCAGGAAATCAATGAGGTAGCATCACTGAATGCAGGCCATTCACTGGGCACTGAAAGGGGTAACTGCCCCATAAACTGCAATGATCCATTTCCAATTAGCATCACACAACAGAAAGTGACATACTTCATTTGCATTAACAATTTTTACAGCCACCTTAGGTAAAAAGGGCAAGGGTAGGAAATTTCTTTTTTACGGCTCTAAAATGTTTTAGAATAAGATTTTGGCAAAATGTGTTTATTCTTGTGAGAGAAAGAAAAGAAGTTTTCCCCTTTCCATTTTAAGCTCTTTACATATGAAATCTAAAACATTTTAAAAATGAGAACCATCCATTAAAAAAAAATAAGATCTGGATATATAAACTTATTTCATATATTTTATAAACATAGGAAAAAACAGTCCAAGAAATTAAAATAAACATATTTAAATTTAAAACAATAAATTGTCAAATTCATAAAATTATAATAAATGCGAAGGACAAAAACCCAGGTTTTGTGGCTTGTGATTTTTTAAAATATAACTTTCTTTCTGAAGGTTTATTATCAGGAAAGGAACAGCAGAATATCTGCGGACTAAATTTTAATGGCTCACAGCAGCCATAAATTATTTCAAAGCAACAAAGGGTGTGTGAAGCTTTGAGCTTGGAACAGCTCTTCAGCATATTATAAACACAGATTATTTTCAATCATTACTTACTGTATCAATGTTTCAAAATCTAACACATAAAAAAATGCATGAAAAAGTAACCCATAACCATCGCTATCCAGAGACAAAGGAGACAAGGTTCCTATAGCATTAGCAGATGTTAAAAGAGTAACAGATAAGCTGCAGCAAATGATCTTCTAAAACTGTGTTTCTCAACCTCTGCAAGGGCATGCTGGTTGGGGGATTCTGGGAGTTGAAATCCATACATCTTAAAAGTTGCAAAGATTGAGACAGACTGTTCTAAAGTAAGAACTTCCCAAGTTATGATGTACAGTATATTCTTGATTTTCTGATGCTGTATGGTCTATCCATTGCTCTTCTCTCTCTATACCTTTAACTGCATCTCTAAAGTTCCCTCTGTTAAAGTACTGAAGTTTGCATATGATACAACAGTCATTGGTCTCGAATGAGACCGTAATGAATCTGCATATATAGGCAGGTGGTTGAACAACTGGCCCTGTGGTGCAGCCAGAACAATCTGGAGCTGAACATGCTTAAAACTGTAGAGATGAGTGTGGATTTTAGGAGGATCCGTCCTATGCTATCACCTCTTACTATATTCAAGCACAGTATCAGCAATAGAGTCCTTCAAGTTTTAGGTTCTATATCTGCCAGGATTTGAAATGGACACTAAAACCATCATTAAAAAGACAGAACAAAGAATTTCTTCCTGCATCAACTTGGGAAGTTCAGACTGCCCCAGGAGCTGTTGATACAGTTCTACAGAGGAATTATTGAGTCTGTCATCTGTACTTCTATAACTGTCTGGTTTGATACAGCAATAAACAGAACAGTACAGACTCCAATGGATTGTTAGAACTGCAGGGAAAAAAAACAATTGCAATCAGCCCGCCTTCCATAGAAGACCTGTATAATGTGCGAGTCAGAAGGAGGGTTGAGAAAATATCTACAGACCTGACACAACCTGTTACAACATAAACTGTTACTAGTCCTCCCCTCAAGATGCCACTATAGGGCATTGCATGCCAAAATAACTAGACACAGGGACAGTTTTTTCCCTCGTGCCATCACTCTGCTGAACACCTAATCTTTAGAGTATCGTCTTATGTCTAAGTGTATTTACCCATGTTGCATGGCTGTAGTATTATTATTATTGTCCTTCTCATTTTCTCTACTATCCCCCTTATTGGTATCCTTATTATGATGATTACTACTCGGTTACTTTGCATGTACACTGAGAGCTTCTGCACCAGAGATAAATTCCTTGTGTATCTAATCATACTTGGCCAAATAAAGTATTTTATAATTCTATAAGTTTCTTTATGACTCCATACCACACCTAAGTACTGTAGCAAACTACTACTCCTTTCTAATTATCAAAAGGGAATAACAGCAGACTTCTTAGGGGATTCATGGAGCTCTCCATTTTCTTCTCCACCAGGAAGAAGAAACATGACAAAAACCCAGCTCCTTACCAATATAATGCAACAGCTTTTCTGAACATTTCAATAAAGCTTGCTGAGGAGAACAATTCATGTTCTTAGTTGCAAGGCAACGACTCCTTCCAAATCACAAGAAGTCATCTCAGCATTGTTTGCAACCAACCAACATGAATGCTTGCAAGTTTCAGGATTATAACATGGACCAGGCTTAGTTTTCCTAATATGTTTTTGCAAAAATCTACATTTGTATATATACTTCAAGCGTCAAGGAAGAGCCAGTGCTTTGCAACACAGAACTAGCAAGACAAGAATTCAGCTGGGAAAAAGAGCAGCTTATTTTCACACTTACAAGGAGAGGTAGCAGAAGTAGCGTTCTCTAAAAAGTAACAGTAGCGTGCAAGAAAATAATTGCAAAACAAGGAGTTCAGCAAGGAGTTGACATTGAATCACAGGCTGAAAACATCCCATAGTTCTAAATCTTCAAAACAAACTAGTCAGAATCAGTAACATCAATCACTAACGTACTGATTTAGTGAAAAAAAATTATACTTAATATACTTAATAGAATTTATCACTTACCAGAGAAGTGTGTTAACAAAGCAGGTTTTCTATAACATAACTCATCTGTTAGATGGAATGACCATTCAGTATGCCTACAGCATACTGTAGGCCTTTATCATAAATAAGACTCTGCCCTCACAATTCACATGTGCTTAGTAATCACCAAGAACACAGCATGTTGTGGCAGTTATCTCTGTACATAGGAGGGAAAACTCATGCATTTCAAACTACATAGAGGAAAAGAGACCCTCGAAGCTACATTAAATTTGTATGAAAACACATTTCTCCATATAATACCAGCCAATGTTAAACTTCATACATTAGATTAACAGAAATTAGATCTGTCAATGACACATAAGAGTTTTCCTCCTATAACAAGAACTTTATTTTCTTGATTTGTTCCACCCAGTTGTCTCTTACCTCCCACAGTTTTCTTCTACACAAGAGGTATATTATGGCTTCATAAATCACAGGCACTCCTGCAAAGAACCTTGTCAAGGAAACAATAAATGCTAGATGGTTTTTCTCCCCTTCCTTTCATTATTCTTTGGGAAAATACAAGTTACAGTATGAAGACAAATTCAAAACACAGCAAGAAACTGTCAAAATATACTACTACAGCTCTTTGGAATAGTAATTCCTTTGAGCCCATTTCATTACTTCTCAACTTCGGAACCATTATATAGTTTTTATTTTTATTTACTTATAGACATCATATACCCTGCCAGAATTTATTGTAAATATCTATTTTAAAATGTTATCAACGTTGTCCATTTGTTATGAAAATTCTTGATTTAATTATGTTAGTTGAGTTAGTTGAATTCTGGCAGCATACATGATGGCCACATTTGTCTGAGTTCACTCAAAATGGTAAGCCACAATCACATTAGAGCTTAGCATAATTTGTAAAGTTCATCATTGTTCTCCAGAAGTAGCAACATGGGAAGCTGGTAAGGGCTAAATTCTTAATACTGTTGTTCATCCGGACCACACAGATCCTTCAGATTCATGAAGTGCCTAAGCAGCAGGTTACCTAAAAAAGTATCTTAATCTTCAATATAGAGCAGAATGTAATTGTTCTTTTGCCCTTATTGAGTGACATTTGGGGGGAGGAGAGAGACACAAAGTGAGCATAAGAACAAGGACTTGTTTACTGTACACTATATAAAGATAGAATAGGATTACCAGATGAAATTTGACTGAGGTTTTTAAGGAAAAAGTTATACAACAAGCTTTGTGTCTTCATCCTAAATCCTTGCCAAGAGTTAGGTTTAACATAAAGTGCTGTGTGCTTGAACCAGGTTATCATGGACATGACTTGCACAAGGGGGGGGAGGATTCCACAGAGAGCATGTTACAATTATATGGAAAAATTCTTAAAATAAAGGGGAGGAAAACTGTGACCCTAAGCATATATGTGGCTCTGATTTTTAAAAAAAACATAATTCTCAAGTGATAGCTATAACTTGAAAGCCCTGTTCCCCTTTGTTGAAGCAAGAAACAGATGTAAGCCTGAATGCAGGTAAGCCTGAATCTCATGTAAACAAAAAACGAACCTTTTCAAAATTTCAAAGCCCTACCCCACTAGTCAACCCAAAATGTTATATGCAATTCTTGGCTATCCCAAAGATTGTTCCCTCCTGCCACATGGCACAAACAGAGGCTACTGTTTTCTCACTGACACTAAACAGGCAGCACTAAGTTTGCATTCTGCCTGAGAGGATGAAGGAAATATGGGATTCATAAATCAACAAGCAATGACACACTGAACCAAATGGGACATGTTTAATTCAAACTGCATCTGTTCCTACACAAATGCTATGAACAATATTGTAATAGCTGTTATATAGCACTTTTTCCTTTACCCACCCATTTCAAGATGGAGGGAAATCTACCTTTCCTTAACAGTACTTAGCATAAGGCTATTTCTTATTACTGATCTTATACAATTTTCTTAGGAAATCAGATAGATAGATAGAT